CTGTGTATTCGGCGGGAGCAGCCACTATTTATGAAGAAATCAAAGGGAAGGGCATTCTGCCAGATCCCAAGCCACTTCGGATGCCAGAAGAAAAATTGGACAAGTCCCTATATTGCGATTATCATAAGTCACCAGGGCACAACACGGACGAGTGTTTGAGTTTGTTGGCCGCATTGTTGCGTTTAATCGGCCATCCGCAACTTAGAAAATTTTATCGTAATACTGATCCTCAGAGACGAGGTCCTGGACGCCAGATCGAACCCTTTGATGATGAAGATGATGAAGAAGACCGAGGTGCTATGACAAAACGTATCCGACAAGGAGATAAGGAAGTGTTCACGTTCACCTCGGAGACGTCCGATTCTAACTCGGCTGGAATTTCCCGAGGGCGCAAACGAGATAGGTCTCCTGAACCGATACAAATCACTGTCCACCGGGTCAATACCAACAACCCCCGGAGTACATTGTCCCGCCGACAGGTCAAGGCGTATGCCCGGCAGGCTCACAACTCCGGTAAACAGGTTTACACCACTGATTTGAGAGATGTTCTCAATAATCGGAATTGCCCCATTACCTTCAATATGGAGGATGCTAATCATTTTGCTCATCCTCATTCCGACGCCCTGGTCATTACCGTCCCTATATGCGGTATCCCGGTTCATCGTGTCATGGTGGACACTGGGGCCTATTCACGTATTTTGATGCTGAAAGCTTTTGACAAGATGGGTCTTGACCCCGCCGAAATCTGACCTTGCAACGATCAAATCCAGGGGTTTAATGGCAGTATTTCAAAACCCGTCGGAGAAATCACTTTGCCTGTCAGATTTGGCACCTCGGAGAATGTCACCAAACTCGTCATGGAGACTTTTAAGGTTATGGATATTAATAACGAGTACAACGCCATCATCGGCAGAACGGCATTGTACAAACTTTGGGCTGCAGTCTCTATCTTTCACTACGCGTTAAAGTTTCCGACAACCCGGGGAGAAGGAACCCACTTCGGAGATCAGAGAGAAGCTCGACAACTTGTTACGTTCATCCCATCTAATGGAGTTCACTCAGCTTCGACGAGTAACAATGAAGCCTCCCCACAGCATCACTCTCCGGACGATGCGATGACCGGAGAACCAAGCAACCACATCGACGAACCTTCCACCTCGGATCCTTTAACCGAAGACCGAGGTCGCCGACCTGGAAAAGAGCCACTCCTTGAAGAAGACGAGTTGGACCCCAGAGCATTGTTTAAAGAAAAAAGTCGACCTGATCGAGCCGAACCTGGAGAAGACGTGGAGTTGGTCTATATTGATGAACCAATCTTCCACAAGTCATTGCGCATCGGAAGCCATCTTCAGGAACCACTTCGGTCAGAACTTATCGCATTTCTCAAGCAGAATTCTGATGTTTTTGCCTGGAAGCACGAGCATATGAAGGGCATCGACCCCGGTGTCGCTAGCCACAAACTAAACCTCGATCGAACA